AGACTGATAGTACTAATAATTAATAATTAATGATAGGGGCTTACCCATCAGTCCCTTGATGTACATCTCTACCAGTTAATGAAAACATGTGAGGTATACTAGGACCACATAAATCAATATCCAATATACCAACCTAACAACACACAAACAAACAAGTAAATATATAATATAAAAAAGATCTCTCACTTTCTTTCCTTCTTCAACCAGTCCCAGTGCTATTTGACGTGTTACTGTACTCTTACCAACTCCTCCTTTACCAGAGAGGACTAATATCACGTGATCCATTCTTGATAGATTCTTTCTTTCTCTTCCTGTAAGAATAAAAAGCATTGAAAGTTTAGCAAACCTGACGCCATTTTACATATACCAAGCTAGTCTCGCTGGCCAGGGAGGCAAGGGTCTGCCGGTCTGGCCTTGCCTATCTAATTGCAGAATCTTGTTGCTGCAAAAGAAAGAGAAATACTGTTATTTGAAAAGTAACTTATTGACGGGTATTTTATTTTATTTTATTTATTTTATAGTGAAACTGCGAGGCTGAGACAAATTAAATTAAATGTAAGCATTAAATAGAACATTACCTTTCTATTTCATTGTAACCTCTCTCCCTCCCTCTTTCTCTCCCTCCATTAGTTAGAATTGAGATCATTTCCACCGCCTCCTCCTAGACCAAACGATCCCTCGCTAAATATAGGAAGAAGAATTATTCCAAAAGAAGCTGGGCCTGACACTGTTATACCCCACCCTCTCTGGTCATCAACAATGAGGCAGTCGGGTAGCTCCGGAGGGACTACCCCCTTCACATTATCCTCTATCGTATCCTCGAGGCCTCGGCCACTGTTAGGAGACCAACTGTTGCCATGACACCAGCCATCAATGACTCAGCAGTTTTATCCTGCATTAGAGCAAGGGCTGAGGAAAGGAACAGGGCTCTGTTCAGAGCCGCAAGAGGAGGAGGAAGAGCTGAGAAGAGGAGACTTGAGGGTGAATCAATGAGACCTCCCAGTGGAAAGGTATTGAGACTATGGTATATTGCATATTCAGAATTTTGTTGTTTTTTAAAATGGCCGCAACTTGAAAAATTTAAGTCGGAATCGGCTCAAACTTTCTACACAGCATAAAGACATTAATATGTATCAGAAAATATAATTAAAAATTGGTGTGATTTCGGAGCCATTTTTTGGAAAAAACCATGGGCTATAGTCTTGGGTATTTTTCAGAATTTTGACATTTTCTTAAAATGGCCGTAACTTGAAAAATTGAAGTCGGAATCAGCTCAAACTTTCTACACAGCATAAAGACATTAATATGTATCAGAAAATGTAATAAAAAATTGGTGTGATTTTGGAGCCATTTTTTGGAAAAAAACCATGGGCTATAGTCTTGAGTATTTTTCAGAATTTTGTCATTTTCTTAAAATGGCCGTAACATGAAAAATTTAAGTCGGAATCAGCTCAAACTTGCTACACAGCATAAGGACATCAATATGTATCAGAAAATGTAATAAAAAATTGGTGTGATTTCGGAGCCATTTTTTGGAAAAAACCATGGGCTCACTCTACCAGCTGTTTACAAGAAATGTTTCGGAGCATTACATTACTTACATTAAATACATGAGAGTCTTTTAAAGCTACAAGCTCCTACGAGAGAGAAAATGAAAGAAAGGATAGGAGGAGAGAGATGAGAACAATAAAGTATAAATATACTACTAACTGATAATAGTTCACCATCACATTCTGTCAAAAAATATATAATATATAATAGTTTCATTATGCTAAATGCTTCAATGGCACTGCGTCATAAATTCATAATTATGCAGTAATTCCCAATTGTTTAATTAAAT